GCATTAGCCCCTGTTGAGCGGCTTCTTCTGATTCATTGCCACCTTTCAGTGTATCTGTGAAATGTGGGTTCACCTCACCACTTGGGGTCATCCCCTGACAGCATGGCCAGTTACTGCAAGCCTGTGAAGGAAAGTATTATCTTCCTCAGATCGCATTTTTTGAAGGTAATGGCTCAGCAGTCAGCATGAACTCATCAAGCACCAAGATGAGCCGAAGCAATAGATACTGATGGGTGGTCTTGACTGACTGGCTAGAAAAAAGCACATCGATGTTATATTGCAAATTTATTACAGTAAGACAATCAGGTTAAATGATTTTCACAGCTAATATACCTAATTATATCAGGGTATGTATATTTACTTTATTCCAGCACATTACAATCTTTAATCATGCAGCAAGTAATGTACAAACACAATTATTGGGAGGATGTTTTTCCCCTAAAAAAGGGAAACCAAAATTACAAAAGTATGGCTTTATAAGAAAGTCATATCATACAATGAACATTCATTTGTATTTGGGTATGGCAACATTCAGTCTTAACCAGTGAACAATAACATCTGTCACTGCCATGATGACTCCAAAAAAGCCAAGGTAACTGGGAACAGGGATATGCCCATTGGTGTTAGAGAGATGTAAAATATATATCTATATGCATGCAAAGTATGAAAAATGTAAAAAATTATTTCAGGGATTAAGTGTCACACTTATTTGTATTCCAGAGTTATGGAGCCTTGAAGAACGTAAGTGCACAAACAGTTTCTGTTTTAATTTAGACCAACAAACATCAGGAGTGATGGAACAGACTTAAAAAGCATTACTTCAGGTGTAAAGAGATATAACTGAGGTCAGAATCTGGCCTGTCCTTCCTGCTAATGGTGCTGCAGAAACAGACAGAAGCATAGGGTTAGGAAGTCATAGGTGGCTGAATTTTTCTGGCAGCTTAGAGCAAAGAAATACAAAGAAGTATGTTTGATAGGTTTTGTTTTTTTTTAAAATGTATTTGAGAATAAAATGTGGCCAGTATCACAAACCCTTCACTGGATGACTGTAGTTGTTGGCAACCAGAAGCCCTTGTGCTTGGTGTCCAGGGGGAAAATGCCCATTTCAAGAGCAAAACTGCTGCCTCTTTACAAGAGAGGAAGAAATGTCATTACCTGTTAGCAGCACAGAGCCTGGGACCCACACTGAACTGGTGAAAAAGCTGCTTCCTTAAGGCATCGCTCACTGATCTGTACGAGTAGGGCTGTAGGTAAGCACTGTCAGTCAGCTGTGGGTTTTACCAGGGGAGGGCAGGCAGACACAGACACACGTGTGCACACACGGACCCACGCGTTTTCACACCCACACATCCACACACACACCCACTCCCCACACACACCCCCGAGTGACAACTCACATCCTTACAACGCTACTCCTCAAAATCGAAATTAAAAAGATGCAATCTTCAGAGCCAACCCGTAATCCAAAGATTAGGACTTTTCTCTTTTGCTTTTATTATTTTTCCCAAGTTCAGAAATACAGATCTTCGTGACACTTACTCAGTATGCATATATGCAAAATGTAAACATCACCACACAGCATCTAACAAAGGTGTTTGTTTTGATTAACAAAGTCACCAACATATTTGTCATGCAAGCATAGAGATTTTTCGAGACCATCAGGTTGCAGGAAGTCAGGAAAATATTTTGAATTTACTTTTGCTAATGACTTGGTTTGGGAAAAAATGGAGAACAAAAGTTAACACAGACAGGGCTGAGGTAGATTTGTCCATATCTGATGTAATGTCACTGTACTGAGCAGGAAGACAAATGTGATCTCAAACTAACAGGCAGGTCGCCACAAGATACGAAATCTGGGTTTAGGGTGAATATTCCCTCATTCCAGCAGAAGAAGGGCCCATCCTACAAAAGTATCATTATGGGTGGTGGAAAAAATTGTCACCACAGCACTAATGGCCCTAAACTTTGGCCCACCTGGACTGCACATGGAGGTCTGACAGTAGCTCAGTGGCTGAGGGCCAGCTGGTGCTTGATGTCTTGTTAAAATGATCAGGAAAGGAGGAATGAGGAAGCTGTAGAGTGATCTTTCTGGTTTGGGTAACTGCCTGTTAACTGGGCTGAGCATACCAGGGTTCTGGCATGTTGGCCAACAATGAACCAGCAGCTTTCTTGCAGGCTGTGGTACCAGTTGCAGATATGCCTCAGAAATTTGAGCTTCTTAAGCTACTGCTGAGAATCCATCTCCTATCCTCTCTCTGGGCAGGTGGATAGAGGGGAACCTCCCACATGGACAAATGCATGAACAGAAGCATCCTGCTGTCTGCTACAAATCCACCTGTAAAGCCTGAAGTGCCTGAGCCCTGACCTTTGCAATGATCCATAACTACTACGGTCAACAAGAGATCCCTGCACCATTTTAGACTCACTTGCTCCCAGTGGGTTGCTCTGACTCTCTGGGTACAGACTCCTGCCTTATTAGAAGGGGCTCTCCATCAATGCCAAGAATCCCTACCTGCCTGCCTGGATTTGTAAGTTGAACAGCCTTCCCCTCCCTCCTGTCTTTTCTGAAACTCTTTATAGCACCAAAACTCTCATGGTTTAGAGCCAGTGCAGCAACAGTGGATGATTTCCATTCCCTCCTTTCCTGGGATGTCTGCTCCTGGGGCCTAATTACTATTCTAATAATATCCATCACCAGCCTCCTCCTCCGCCTCTCACCCACCGACATCCGGATGAGATGCTGCATTGCTGCTGGGGACAAACCCAATCCTGCTCCCCTGGACTCCAGGAGTGCCAGAGGGACTGTGCTCTGCACAGTTGCTTTGGTCAGCCATGGGCAGTGAGCACCTGCTCTGTTCTCTGCCTCCAGCTCCAGGTTTTCGGGGTGGGTAGGTGCCAGGACTGGGAAGCCTGCAGGGCTTGGCAGAAGCAGCTGAGCCACCGCTCATAATGCAAATCTGCTTTGGGCTCTGCTTTGCTTCCCAAGCTGTGACAGCCTCCGCCTGCCGCAGAGGCTGCCGAGCCAGCAGCCTTCCTGCAAAAACCCTCACCCAAGATTGACCCTGAATTTCCCCATTCACAGCCTCCCCCATTGAACAAGAAGGAATAGACACAGATGGAGAAAGACAAGTCCCCAGGGGCAGGGGTAGAAGGACACTGCAGCACCAGGGATGTGGGATTTCAGGAGAAGGGTTAACCCCTTTGTGGCCCACTTGCCACATTTAGGGCTGGGCTGGCATCTCACAAGCAAGACTGCATCTTCACCTAGCCCAGCACAGGTGGCACCAGCACTGAGGTCCTTCCATGGCACATGGGAAGGGATGGCTGGGAGGAGCATCCTAGTGTCTCAGAAAGGATGTTCCAGTTGGCTGTGACTGGCATGTTGTGCAGCCCCCCAGGAAATCTCCACCTGGCCATGGCTGGCATTGCCAGTGTCCTGGCACACAGGAGGTACCCCAAGTACAGGGAAACAGAGCAGAAGTGCTCCCTGTGCTGATGGAAAAAAAGAGGATGTCACTCCAGCATAGCGTTCTTGGCACAGGCAGGGAATTAGCCAAATGAGACAGGAGCCAGTTTTGCACAGAGCAATTGAGATGTGATTGCACAACCTTTCTTAGCCAGAACCTCGCTAAAATGTTTCTGCCCCACAGCCTTTGACTCCAAATTCAGTTGAAGAGATGAATGAGTTCTTCACTGCTGCTCAGTGTGGGTCTGGGCAAGAGTGTTACGCTACTCCAGCAGAGCAGAAGGTTGAGCTTACAGAGAGGAGGAACACTGAAGTCCAAAACAAGGGATGTCCCCAAAGGAAGTTTGGATTCTGCCACTGCTCTGTTGGTGCTGAGAACAGCCAGGTGAGCAGGATCAGTGCCTTGAACAGACAGGACTATGTCTGGGCAGGAAGACTCAGAGCTACCCAAGCAGGCTGGGCAGCCCCAGCCCTGCTTTCTGCAAATACACCCTGCCTGCAGCACCTAGTCAACGGGAACTTTTTGCAATTTGCAGGATCAGGCCCTCTGTCTGGACCTGGGTGGCAAAAATAATTTAATTGACAAGTGACAACTTTTTAACAGCAGATCATACCCCAACTTATGATAATTAACAAATGCCAGGAGCTCTGAGACCCACTGGGAAACCAAGTTGTGGAGATATGTCCAGCCCTAAAACACAGGTCACGGAGAAATAATGTGACTTATGAAAGACAGGGCTTCCACTGGCCCTGCTCCAATTGCCATTTGTTTACTGGACAGCAGGGAAAATGGTTCCTTCCCCACTGCACAAGCCTGTAGAGGCATCAGGGCTGGGACTGCCTTTAACCCTCTCATTCCCAGATAAGACATGATGCTTTCTGTTAACTATTCTGTGGGTCTCTATCCTCCTTTCCCATCCCCCCCAGGAACACACTCACTGCTCCTCTCTGAACTCATGCCCTCCACACAATGACCTGCTGTAAAGTAACTCACTAAAATCAGGTACCCTGCAGGACTGCCTCCATGTCCCTGTGGCATCAGTCATGGACTTTGCGGTTATTACTAGATGTTGCTAGATCATTGTTAGAAAGGAAACCTGACATTTGAACCCTGTTCGTAGGAGATGGTATTTCTCCCAGCTCTGGCAGAACATAGTCCCATAGTTACACCGTTTGAACATCTCACTGGGCACCTAGTTCCCTTTTACCCAGGAACATTACACAGGATACAGTTATCATATTGGGAATTCAGATACACTGATACCAGCTGACAGCTAAGAAACCAAACATAACAGTCTCAACTACAGTTAACCCTTCACATGCACAATAGAACAGAAAACAAGGAAGGCTTTTGCCTTCAAAAGTGCTGTGCCTGCAATCAGTTAGAAAAGACATTTAAAATCTTGTCACAACATATTGAATTTTCCAGCATAGCCAAACAGGTTAAGTACTAAAATCACACTAAAATGCAGAGAGAGGTGGATGACCAGCTCCTCTAAGTTGCCTTTGAAAATCCAAGACCCTGCAAATAAAGTCAAGGAAAAACATTTACCATATTTTTTGTCGGTAGCTTTTTGCCATAGGATGGTAAGGGCTTTAGTGCCTGAGGTATAGGTAGTTCCTGGATGCTTTTAGGGAAGTGGGAAGGGGGAAGAGTCTGGAGAATAGTTTGCATAGCTTGCAGATATAAAGAAGCAGGTGTGTTCCCCACCAAGCTGTTGAATTTGTCTTCTCCCAGCAAAGCTGTCCAGTGGTCTGGATGCTCCTGCAGAACTTTCCGCATCTTAAACTGTGGGTTGGGCATGAAGAGCAAGAGGTAGTCAAGGCAGAGCTTCTTTGATGCAACATTGACTTTGGAGTCCCACATCTGCTCCAGGATGACGTCCAGCGGGGTAAGCCCTTTACTGTCTTCTATCCTGGGAGAAGCTCCATTCCCGAGGAGGATGAGGACGGTCTCTGACCTTAGCAGTTCACAGGCAAGGTGCAGGGGGGTTTTGCCATCTTCCAAATGAAAGCAGCCAGCCCTGTTGATGTAGGAGTTCAAGCTGGGGAGCTTGTGTGCAATTTTGATGATCAGTCCCAAGATATCTCTCCTGTCATATGTGACCGCCATGGCCAAGTGAGGAGCAGAAGATGGGCAATAGCAGAAGTGTTCCCCGGGCACCTTGAGAGCCTCTTCTGGAAAATGAGACAGCAGATACTGAGCATAAGGCAGGTGATTATGCACCACTGCATAGAGAAGGGCTTCTGAAGGTGAGTAGGTTCGTAGGCTGGCATTTTCCTCCCAGTAAAAATACTCCATAGTTCTCATGTCTTCCAGCATCCACACAGGCTTGTGATCTCTCACAGCCTGGTAGAACATATAGGATAAGAACTTGCAGTGCCTGCTCTGATCATCCTGCAGGCTGGCCTGGTTACTGGCCATGGCTCAGCAAATAAAGAGCAGCTCCACGTAAAATCGCTCCAGACTGTACGATCAGTGCACTTGGAAGGCTGATCCCGATGCTGCTGCAACCTTCAGGCTGTCATTGCTGCCTGGACTGCACTAGCTGGAATGCATGGGCTGATCATCTCCACCCATTCATTGTTTTTCCCTCTCACTGCAGTGGTTTTGTTTAGGTAAGCACAATCCCACAGGCTCAGTTAACCCGTGCCATGCAAGCAGATGGTTAGTAAGTACATCCCGCTCTGCGTGTGGCACAGGTTACTGAAGCGCTGTCAGACTGCGAGTGATTTTATACACACAGAGCTAGAGAGAACAGAGGGAGAGACTAAAATTAGCTTGAGAGGTGAGGCGGATTTCTGTCTGCATTTCATGTCTAACCAGATCAGCTCATACACTGCAGTAAGTGGAATAGCAATATTCCTCTATATTTTTTGTATGTCATTCACACACACGCAGCTCATTATACAGTAAAAAATGTGTAGCAGTGTGAAATACTCCACAGCTGATAATACACATGATTATATGCTTGGGAAATCAAGGGATTGGTAGTGGCAGCATTAGGAAGGGATCCCTATTTTATAAATAATGGTATGGCTGGCCATTTAAAAGACATTGATGTTAATGGATTGTCTAGAAGGCATTAGGGATGTTTAAGATCCCAGCGTTAATGTCTGCAGAGAAAAGAGTCAAACGGTGCAGTAACTATGCCCAGAGTCATAAAGCACATTGCTGGGTTTAAACCTCTGCCTTTGTTTAGCAAGGAAATACCTGAAGCTCCTCTGTGCTGCACAGCAAGTACATAAACAAAAGGTTAATGGCCAAACCCCACTGGTGGGTGGAGAGCCTTGATCTAAGCATTTCTTAGATGTCATGCTCTGAGGCTGGGGTTAGAGCCAGCAGCAGTGGGGGGAAGTAAGCAATCAGACTTGTGCAATGCCCTGGTAAGACACAGAGGACCAAGGCCTACAGGTTTGAGGGGGACCTGACCAAAGTTAAATTCACAGAAAAGAAATGAACTAAACCTCCTTCATTTCAAGTTGTGCTTAAGGAAGGAGGGTTTTCATGCATCTTGTAAATCAACAGACTGCAGTAAGACGTATCTCACCATTTTGATGGGAAAACAGGGAAAATACAGCAAATCAAGAATTCTTTGTTCTTTCAGCAAGGAGACAATCCTATGTACAGTATATACAAACTAGAGACTATTCAAGTATCAGATCTCAACATCACCAAATGATGGGTGGGGCCATCCAAAGAGAAAAACAAAGCCACTCACAAAACTGGGTCTAGATATAGCACATCTTCCAAAGCATCTGAAATTTGGACTTAGGTTCTTGGAAGAGAAGTTAATTAGTATTTAAGTGGCTATGGTCTTTTGCCTAAAGCTCTCACAGGGATTTTCCTAATAGTAAATCATGACTATACCCTAGGAGTAACATGGCTTTCATTATTGCCATGTTGCAGGTATAGGAAAACACACATGCTTTACATAGCCCAGTTTTACAGATCAGTACATGGATCCGGATGGGGACTGAACCAGGAATTGCTGTGTCTTTGGCCAGGGGTTATATCCATTAAGCAACCCTCATCTGCTGCAGGTGCCAAGATAAGAATCCCCAAGGAATTGGTCACAGCACCAAGACTGGACAATGCTCTTAATCATATCGTTTAGTTATAGGTAATCCTGTGAGAAGCAGAGAGTTGAACTTGGTGCAGAGACACATAAAAAGTCAACAGAAAAATTCTCTGCAAGTATCTCCAAGGAAGAAGGAAGATAAAATCCCAGAATCAGGAATAGCCACCAGGCTTATGGCAATCACCTCTACACCACAGGTCCAGGATGTCCGGGATGTGAAAACACCTGCAATTACAGGTTAGCTTGTAATTACACTGTAATTCTGCCCAGGAAGCCCAGCACAAAACTAGGGGAATCCTTCCCATGGATTGCTCACATCTGCATCATTTTAATGGCACTGGTCTGCCTGCTGTGCCTGTTTTGTTTTTTCCAGAAGTTTAGAAAAGCTGGAGCTGAGGGCACCTGTTTGATGGCAGTGCATTTCTACTGTATTTTATTACACACATAATGCATCTGTAAAACATTATAGCTCCATTAGAAATGGAAGACATTAATGTGGAAAGCTTTACTGAGGAACTTGAAGGTTAGGACTTTGGAAGTTCCTGTTTATTTCTTTGAATTCTTTATTTCTTTGAATTTTGATCCATGGCTAAAAACAATGTCTCCTAATTCATAAGGTATTTCTTATGGCTTCCCTCTTGGCTAAACTGCAGTCTTGAAGAGAAGCAGGATCAGATTTTACTTATAGAGAGAGCATCCAAGAGAGCAGGAACAGTTTTGAAGGGTGAAACTGTAAAACAAAAGATGATTTTATACAAAATACCATTTACCATTTCAACTGAGAACAAGAGGTTCTTTAGGTCTCTTCCAGGCAGGTACATTTTTCACATTTTCTGGTGATTTCAGCTCATGAACTGATTTGGTTATTTTGAACCTGTGAGAAATACAGTGTTTCGGAGCTATTCAGGAATCATCTGTGTTATGCTCAAAATATTTTCTCTAGCCAAAAAGTAAACATAACATATAAGAAGACAAGAACTGAGTGCTAATATAACTGAAATCTTAGCACTCTAATAAAAAAAATGATCATTATTAGTCCAGGTCAAATTATTAGAGAAGAATAAATAATACTTCTATGCAGAAAAAGCTTCAATAGTTACAATAATAATTAAAAAATAACTTGAAACTGTTATGCACACTCTTCTTATCGTCTACCCCTATTCCTGGTGTTATAGTCCTCCTGCCCTTACTCATCTGGGTGCCAAGGTTGCTGGTTTTTTTCTGGTGGTGGTGGTACCAGTGATTCCCTAATCATCAGCATCTGGGGTCATTCAGTGGGAGGAACATGAGGTTAATGGTGATGGTTTCTTCTTCTTCTGGGTTTCATGATTGCTGACATACTTTTACACTTTGTTTTTATTTCATTGGATTGAAACTCCATTTTACATACAAATTTACTATAGATGCTGACTATATAAATGCTAGATACTATTTCTTAATCCTCTTTTCTATCCCTAAAACCATTCTTGTCCAACTCTGTATCTCCATTTCTTTAACTGACCACAGGTGAGTTGTTTGTAGCTGTGAGCTCTCCAGACTGTGCCCCATCTCTTACCATCCCACTGGGCCTGTACTCATCTGCACTGCATCCTGTGCTTCCACTTCTCAAGACCTCTGTAGTCATACAAGGCCCAGGATTAGCTCTGTTAGCTCTACCTCATGAAGTTAGAGTTGTGAACAACTCATGGTGCACAGAAGAGGTGCTTATTACTGCTGTCTGTATAAAACTATGGTTCTGCCATACAGTGCTGGTCAAAATAAATCAAATCAGCCATAGCCACCTGGCTAGAAGGATAAAAGTGTTCCTACAGCTAAATCAAATTGTAATAAAGCAGCAGGCAGTCAATAAAAGTCCACACAAAGTAAGTGTGGCAGGCCTGAGTTCTGAGCCTTTGCAAATTCAGTACAGAACCTACAGCCTGTTGCTAGCAATGGCCATACTGTGCTGCAGGGATAGAGGGTTCCAATAAATCCTGTTTCTGGAATAAACAGAAGCAAAAAGGCTTTGTGCAGTGCATACTACTGAGAGTGTGGCTGAGGCTTATCATCCTTTCCCTGTCATTTCTTCTTCCTCCACTCTGTACAAAGACACAGGGAGCAATGAGGAGCACCATGGGGACAAGAGTGAATGAAGATACCTTCTGGAAACGGATGAAAACAACAGCAGATTTTGTTTACTGGGGCTGAGGATAAATCTATGAGGAGCACCATGGGGACAAGAGTGAGTGAAGATACCTTCTGGAAACAGATGAAAACAACAGCAGATTTTGTTCACTGGGGCTGAGGATAAATCACTTGTTTGGCTGTGAGTGGGGCTTTCACATTTGTCGTTTCACTGGCTGATGAGACCGACACATTTCCTTACTTTAAGGGAAGAGTAGACATGCCACAGGCTCCAGCAGTCTGGAGGCTAATTTGAACTCAGCTCAGCTCCTTCCCACCACGTTTTTGCCTGGGCACACACAGGGAAAACTTCAAGGAATAAGCCACTTGGTAAAGAGAAGAACAAAAGACTTTGGGGAAGTTTGGGACCATCTCCAACATCCTACATCTGTCAACAACTCCAATATGATGTTTCTTGCTCCCTTTAAGCCTTTCTCCAGTGATCTTTATTGGCATCTGTTTCCAGCACACAACTGATTCCAACTCCTCTGTGCCCTTTGTACAGGAGGGGCACAGGATGATCTAGCCAGGACATACAAAGAAGCAAAGCAATTGCCAGGTATCAGGTGCCTGAGCACAAAGCAAAAATGTTACAGAAACCTGATCTCTTGATTCAGAGGCATGCTGTTTTTCAGGATCCTGTCTGCTGGTCTTCTTCCTTTCCTCAGGAAAGAAAAACTGATCAGTAGGTGATGGATGATAACCCTTCAGCCACGGTGAGCCTCTAGCAAATGCTTGCTGTGTCCTGCTTTCCACGTCCAGCCTGGATTGTGCAGTGCAGCTTGTGGACACACTGTGTGATGAATTAACACCTTTGTGCAGAGTCCTACTGCACTGCAAGGCTGGTTTTACAGAGCATGAAGGGTTTCTTTTATACCCTGCTACATGCTTACCAGCTCTAATTCATCCAGCTGACTAAACAAGGCTTTGGGATGGTGGAAAAATCTACAATCTGACCTGTCCTGAATTGCAGAATATTTCACTTCTGCTCGCAGGATTCAAACAGTGAATGAGACAACCTCTGACTACCTTGCTAGAGGCAAGAAATGGAAATGAGCAGAGATTTACCACTTTGGAAAGCATTTGAATGACTTGTAATGGGACCAGCTGGTGTGCTGTATCCAGAACTAATCAATCCCCAAATGGTTATTTACCTGCAGAAGTTTGGAAGTGAAAAATA